GATGAAGAGTAAAACAAAGGTAACTGGGCAGACTGAACGTACCCTAGGGTTAGGGCAGTTCAGTTATATGCTCATGATAACACTAAGGAGCAAAGAGTTAGTATAAATCTGATTTTATTTCCCCTTCTAAACATGAGGCAGGATCGGAAGTTCCATTTATTGGAAAGGTCTGATCGACTGCTTAATAAGAGAAGGAAAAACATAAAGTCTGTGAAAGTATTTGTACCCTATTTCATGTTGTATGGCTAACTAGGCGTACCCTAGGGTTAGGGCGGCCTAGSGATAAGCTTTTGTCGTTTAAAGTAAGTTGGACGTACCCTAGGGTTAGGGCGGTCCAGCGTTTCGATGTTTATAATTGTTCAGGCAGATCAGGCACACCCTAGGGTTAGGGCAGCCTGATCACATTGCCTTTGGTAACTAAAACTGTATGGCTAACTAGGCGAACCCTAGGGTTAGGGCGGCCTAGTAATATGCCTTTGTCGTTGATGTGCTGTGGATTGGACGTACCCTAGGGTTAGGGCGGTTCAACTTTTTGTCGTTTGTACTTATGTTTAGGTAAGCTAGACCTACCCTTGGGTAGGGATGGTCTAGAATGATGCCGTATGTAACTTTGTTTAAAGCAGACTGGGCACACCCTAGGGTTAGGGCAGCCCAGTCCTATGCCCTTGTTGTCAGTTAGGCATATGCCTTATGTGTATAGTTCCTGTCATGTTGGGCACAACCTAGGGTTAGGGCAGTCCAAATGTGCGTGCTTTACTCGTGTACCTAGGCAGGTCAGGCATACCCTAGGGTTAGGGCCTTGTCTGACCGTATAACATAGGAAAGGGGGATGTAAAAGAGAATAACGAGGTTTTTGAATGAACTATGAGGTTGAAAGAAACCTGAGGGATGGTGAGAGATGTTCGTTGTGATTGTTTGTGTGTGTGTTTGCGGGCTCTCACTCTGGGGCATCTTTTGATAAAATTAGTTGCTTTAGATGCTCGCTGAGTGTTGGAGCCATAGGTAGATAAGATGGATGATGAGAGAAAAGCTTGGGATAAGATAGGACTTGACTCTGCTAGGAGTTAGGATCAGTGCTAGCTCACGCTCTCGTATAGAGATCGTGCAGACTATCGCTGATTCTACCTTCCAAAGTAAGCGTCAGAAGTTAGTCCCAAGTATAGTTTTGCTTTGTCTTTCTATTTTCAGCTTTGTATAAATCTTGGCAGCCTTCTTTTCCTACGGGAAGCGCTGCCGAAAATTCTACAAATCTGAAGGAGTTAGTCATTTTTGGGCTTTCAGAAATTATGAAAAGGCACTTTTCCTACGGGAAGCGCTTCCGAAATTTCATAGAAATCGAGGAGTTAGAATAATTTATGCTAGGAGAAACTTGGCAAATCCACCCTGAATAGAGGAGATGCTGTCGAATTTCTCAGGACCTGGGATTAGAAAATGGGATTTGAGTTTGAGACTAGTAGAGGAGTTAGGATACGAGCTAAAAAGTATTCTCCATATGAGGTAAACGTAGTAGTGGTTCTCTTTGGCCTGTACTGTGATACAGGTCCTTGTGACTCCGTTGAAGGATTGATCTGACCAGCATAATCCTGTTAAGGATTATTCTTCTGTTATCATTGATAACAGGTCGGTTGCCGATTCGTCGGTTTACGACTCAACTTTCCTACTACTTCTGCTTCTCAACCTAAAAGCCTTGGCCCTTGCTGGTTTATTGTTTTTTTGGGTTTTCACCCAGATTCTTTATAAATGGCCATTTCTTTAAAGACTGAGTATCTTTGTTATGGAAAGGTGGGGATAAGGTTGGGCTTGTGTGCGTAAGGCAGGGTGTGAGCTGCAGAAGGCTGAAAAGTTGACCCCTTTAGTGTGTGTGATGTCGTTTGATTTCTGTGTGTGATTGCAGGTATGTGTGGAGAAACCTCGATAAAGTTTGGTGACTGGTTGTGAATTGGATTGAGATGGGCAAATCACACAACTGTCGTGAGAGTGAACTACCACACAAACTCTTTGTTTGATTGCGATTGGTCTTTTCCTATCCTGATTCTTTTATAGTCAAAGTAGGCGTACGCCCGGATAACCCTCACAAGGATATGCGACTGCACGTTTACGACTCTCTTTTACTCGCTGATTTTATATGGTCGAACGTTAGTCCCAGGTCCTAGGTCCGGGGCTGAAGGGATTACCTTTCGCACAGTTCTGACCTACTTACATCCTTAGGGAAACAAAAGCGCCGCGAGAAGGAGGGACTGACCCCCAGCAACTCGGTCAAGCAGGACATTCATGTCTTCTTCGGCTAGCGACAAGCGCCCCTATTCTTTTTCCTTGTTTAGTTTGCTTTTGGTGGAACGATAAAGTTTCGGGCGGAAGGATTAGCGTGTCGCTGGTGATGCGCCAGACAACTTACCACCGCTCCGAATCCCTTCCTGCCCTAGGGACCATCTTACCTCGCACCCCTTGGGACACCTCAGGGTGCTGAAGACGGTAAGGCCCCCAGGCCGGTTTTTGCGCTCACTAAAGGTTTACCCCCTTTAGCGTGCGCTTCAGCCGACGCCTGAGCATCAAAAGCGACCCCATGGCTTAAACGAGGCCACTCGGGTATGGGCACTACATAGTGCGCCGACATCACGATCGCTTACGCAAATCCGCATTGTTGGTCGATATGCGTAAGTCCTGTGGTCGAGCAGCCTTATGTTAACCCGCGCGCGCGACACTTACCGATTTCCACACCTGAAAGTTATGGGTCAAGCGAAAAAGGCAAAGGCGCGTTATGGCTAGTAGACCCGAGTTT